TGCTGCTTCTGCTGCTGGATATGTGGCCTATAAAAATAAAACAGGTGAGCAACTTGAAATTTGTTTTAATTGAATAGTTTATTCAATTAAAAATTATAAGCTATAAGTTTGTTGGTAAATTTTAATTCACCATTGGATGGATGGATCGATCTGCAGAGACTGGGATAAACCAGATTTGAAGGAAACTTGTGAAATGCTGCTGTACTCATTTATCAAAATGAAATCACCAACCAGATGAAGGAAAAGCTGGTTTTACTGCACTGTGTCTGCTAGCCGAATTTTTTTAATATAAGACACAAGAATCTTGTGTTGACTTTGTTACTTTTGTATTTAACAAAATAATCTAGCTCAGATTTTGGTTTTGTTGACACATTTTAAACGACAAATTAATGTACACGAAGGTCACCAGTATTTGTTGAGGAATTCATGTTTTTATCATGCATAAAATATAAACAGATGCTATAGAAAGTTTTACCTAAAAATTCAAGAAATAAAGTCTTTTTTATTATTACAAGTTGGTGTTTTTATGGATTTGTGTCTCTGTAATCATATATAAGTACATTTCTCCACATTCTCTCAGGGAAACTTCTTTCAGTTGAATCTGTGGAATTTTCAGTGAACTGGATCAAATCAGAAAAGATTTGGATCGACGACGTTAAATAATAAAGATTCTATCTGTCCAATGCTGCCCTCTGGTGTCCCGCTAAAGAAAGTATAAATAACACTGAAACTTGTCAAGTTTTTCACCAAAGAGATTGCAAACCTTAACCACTGCTGCTAGCAGAACCAGTTCTTATGGGTTTCTAGGTTTTTATGCAAACTGAGAGCCAAATTGAACCCAGTATCCATCCAAACAGATTCCTTAAAAACATTTAGATTCTTCCTCCTAAGTTTGTGTTTCTCTGATGCCTTACATTTCATAAATTATGAAGCGAGATTCAATAAAATTTATCATCATATATCAAATCCAAGTGATATTGTAGAAAATGTATATAGTGGAGAGTTTGAAGGAAAGTTATGGAAAGTTAAGGATAGTTATGTTATAGTGGAGACAAAAAAACCAGAATGATTTTTAGATAATATTTAATTAAATATTTGCAAAATATAACACAACTTGATTGTTCATAAATGTCCGTCTTTGAAACAGGTCTTTGTCTCTCAAATGAAATTAAGATGATTTATGTTCACTCTCAAAGAAGTAAAATAATTAATAAACATACAGCACCTTGTCCTTGCTTCAGTTTCTTCAGAAAGACATCAATTGTATGTTTAAAGAAGAAAGGAGACATAACAACCTCATCTGACAAACTCAAATAGAGGATCATTATTAAGGTTTTTGTGAGCCCAGTCTTGTTTGATTTTCTTGCTGCAGAAAACTATCTGCACATCATCGACTTCTTCATATGGAGGGATGCTTGTGAGCCCCGAGGATCCAGCAAGACAAACCTTTAGTTTGTTTCACTGTTTGAAAAAAAGAGTTAGTTTTGACAAATTATAGAACAAATTTTATTATTAAAAAACAAATTTTCAGTTTTCTTACTGAAGTCTTACTGAATACCATCTATACATTAGTAAACATGATCTAATTGATCTTTTAATTAGAAATAAGTCATCTATTTACCTAGAACCTTGACAAGTAAATAAAATATTTGATGTAACAAATTGATAATGTTTTGCGCTTTCTTTCCTGCAGATGTAGCATGACAAAACATAATAAGTATCACCAAACACTTCATCTTGCTCAGAAAGCTGATTGTAAACACAGACTATGTAGAAAGTTTAAATTGTTTAACCTGTTTGTTAAGTCCAGAAATGCTTTCAGTTTTATGTTCTTGGGTGTGTTTATTGTGGTTGACAGAAAACTTGTCAGTTTGATTATTTAGTAACTATGGAGCTTTCTTCATAATAAAACTCCAGTGGAACTTGACTTGTTATTTAATGGTTTCTCACTTTTAGTAGAAAATGTAGTTGCTCAAGTGCAACTGAACAGCCTGAAGTGACCCAAATCCGATTATTTTTTTTTGCCTTCATGCAACATGTATCTGATCTTGTCATGACAGTCAGACAAGATCAGATACATGTTGCATTTTTTACAAATGCGACCCAGACTACTTTGATACGTGTTCCTAAATCTGATGTGTGTCTGATCTTTTAAAATGGAACCTGTGTCTGTACGGCCAGGTCACATTCATCCGACCTATACGTCATTGATACTTGACAAAAGTCAGTTCTGCATCCTGACATGCGGAAACGGAAGAAAAAATAACAACCATGGCGGACGATACCAAGGACTAAGCTGTTAATGTGACTTTGAGAAGGCAAGATATGCTCCATCAGTACCATTTATGTTTAAAAACGAAAGCAGAAAAAAATCAAGACTGAGTCAAGAGAAAGTGCAGCAACAACAACAAAAAAACAAAAGCTAAGGTGGAGCACGTTACCTGTTTGACATCAAATCCAGTTTGTTGAGATCAGGTGTAGAAGATATGAAGTATGTTTGCTAAACAGTTTCAGGAAGCATCCTTAAAGACTGTGGGAGGGGCAGGTAATGTAACTGAAGGCGGCTCTTGTTTCAAGTATCTCCAGTCGCTTTGCGTTGATCTTTGGTTTTGCTCTCAGCTTAACCGATGTACTTCACTCACATGATTTAACAGCTTGGTTTTCTAGAAAAGATGTGGCTTTACACAAACAAAATAGCAATATTGCTTCTTCTCTGCCAGACTTCATCATCAGGTATGGTAGCCAGTTTTAATGTCACTAATATAACCGTTTATGCATGGATGGAGATTTGTGTAGGCTGATGTTAACTGACCGTATAAGTGGATAATCTAACATCTTTTCTCCACAGTCAAAAATTCACTGACATTTTTTGCCATTATATCAACTGGGATCAAAAATCTTCCAAACCTGTTTACAACAGTAATTGACGACATCCAAGTGGATTACTATGATGGCAATGGAGTTAGAAAACAAAGCTCAATTCTCTGGAAGAACATTTCAAATTCCTCTCAGTCGACGATATTCTCTGAAGAAGCATTAAGGTCTCTGGACAACCTTTTGACATCCTACTTAAATAAGACAGCAAATCTAAACCCAACTGAAGGTACTGTGCATTTACCTGACATTTAAATGTTAAGTACTCTTTCTTTTAAACAAGTCACTAATTTCCTAATTTTGTCTGTCTTAGCTGTTCATGTTTTACAGTGCATGACCGGCTGTGAATCGGATGAAACATCTGCTGAAGTTGTCATTTTTCAGCAGTGTGGCTACAATGGAGAAGATTTTATGAAAGCAGACTTCAAAAACCTGACTTGGATTGCTCAGAGTTCTTTGGCTAAAAACATTACACAGGAACTGAATGTATACCAGCATCAATTTCTGTCACTGACTTGCCCTGAAATGCTGAACGAGTTTGTGAATCGTAGCGCTCTGCAGAGAGAAGGTATGCAGTGGATTGTTTTATCAACTTAATGAGGCATTCAGCTCCTCGTTGTTTTTAGAGTAAGATTTAATTTAGCACTAAACATCACTAGATCATAAAACTGGTTGTTTTTTCACTTTATATCTATTAACTTTTCGTAAGATAAAATACAGACCAGCTTTTAGTAGCAAAACAGTAAACCAAGATACAGACTTATTTCAGAAGCCCTTGCTGTCGGTAAAACTTTGCTTTGGCGTCTGCTGCTTGTCCAGTCAGTTGGAGGTTTGACACAAAAACAATGCCAAGGGGGGTGAACACTTTTGCAAGGCAATGCATTTCTCTAGCAGTCAAAGGGCAAGATTCATATATCTTCCATTTATGTTATCACTGCCCTCTTGTTTTTCCTAAACATTTTGCTTTTCTTCTCTCCACTTTGCCTCCCTCATGCAGACTTCACTTCTGTCACTCTCCTCCAGAAGACCCCTTCCTCTCCTGTCAGATGTTTTGCCACAGGTTTCTACCCAAACACAGCCGAGATGTTCTGGAGGAGAGATGGAGTGGAGATCCAAAATGATGAGGAGCCCAGTGAGATCCTCCCAAACCACGACGACACTTACCAGATGAGTGTTGACCTGAATGTTTCAGCAATTGCATCTGAAGACTGGAAGAGATATGACTGTGTGTTTAAGCTCGGTAATAAAACCATAGCAACCAGACTGAAAAAGGACATAAACATTACTGAGGATGGTAAGCTCCCATCACAAATTTCACAGATTAAATATTAAGTTATTTTGCTCTAACTTTGCCATAAAACGAATGTCTAATTCTAGCTTCAGATCCAGTGTCTCCTTCCTCTTCCTCCAAGTTTCCTCTTGATTTGGCCATTGGACTTGTTGTCGGATTGATTCTGTTGTGCTTCTGCATAACTGGACTCTTTCTATGGAAAAATTCAATAAACGGTACTTATTTATATACTGACAACTAACTTTTTTTTTAACTTTACAACAAAAGAAGATATTAAACATGAGTGAAAAAAATCTTAATATTTATATTTCAAACCCCATTTATATTGACACCTGCTAAGTTGAAAGTTATTAATGTAACTTAAAAGTACAAGTTAATTACTAATTGTTGTGTTGTTTCCACATGAACCAAGCTATGTTGCAAATATATTGTTTTGATAAAATACTAATGTTTTTTTCCCTACTAGCCTCACATTTCAATCATAGACCTTCATATCCCAACTATCCAAGTAAGTTCTTCAGTGCCCACACACTGACCCATATACAGTTGCTAAAATATTTCTTATTTTATTCATTAAACATGATATGCATAAAAGTTATTGCTTGAGTTCTGTGTATATGTTGAAGCAACAGCATTCTGAAACTAAAACATGTACTTTTTCAAAAAACTATTTTTTACCTTTTATCAGAACTGATTAGTGTTGGATTATATTTAATGGTTATCTATGCTGGAAATATATAGCCTGATAAATAGAAATATACATTACTTTTTAATCTGAACATGTTTTATTGACTTTTGTTTCTTATAATGATGCATTTTAATAGAATTGCAAGATGGATTTTAAAATCTGAAACAGGATTATTTTCAAATAAGTAAGATTTCTTTTTTTTTCTGTCTTGACAGCCACCATACGAAATTGTCAACATCATTGTGATTTAGAGTAAGTTTGTGATCAAGGTTTGTGTTTTGAGTGGGATCAAAAGAACGGATACAGAGCTGGAATTACAAATAATGTTATTTAACCAACACTACCTGTGACTCCTTCAAAATATTATGGTGTGACGTCTCTTTCAGTGAACAGTAAAACAGGAAACATACTGGAAAATAGTAATAATTTGTTAGATATTTTGCTTTAACTTTTTTTTATGAACTGATATCAAAGTAATCTTTTAATGAATGAAAGAAGACAGTTTTTAAGTATTTCGATTCAATAACTTGTGCTGCTCTATATAGCTATGATTTTCTTGAAATAATTTGGTTTGTATGGCAATTACAAAATCACTATATTTTCGGAATTATATAATTCTCAATTCGCTTCTTCTTGTTCTATATTTTGATCAATGTTTCTGTTTAGTATGATATTAATTAAAGGGTATATGTTGTCATCATATAGTTTGCTTCCTGTCCTTGAGTTTCTTCAGTTGAGTATCCACATCCTAGTTAAAGGCACAGTACGTAACTTTAATAAAAATATATTTTATTTTTACATATTTGTTAAAACTAACAAATATGTAAAAAATATGTAAAAACATATGCTATGAGTGAAAAGATCAATCTCCTCCACCTCCTCCCTGAGCTGCTGTTGCCATCTGAAGAAACAACCAAAAACAGCCAATTAGAGCAGGAGACTTGTCTTAGCACCGTGAATCAATCTCCTGTATTCACTGTTAAATGTGCTAATGGCAGAGAAACAACAGGAAAACCACATATCTGCCACGCTAACTAGACTGAGCATTCACAACAGGCTATGCTAGCTGCAGCTTAGCACAGAGCAAGGGGGGATGGAGAGGGAAAGATGAGCAGTGCCTACAACATTGTGATTGACGGCGTTAAGACCCACCTCCTGGCTCTGATTGGTTGTTTCTAGTTCGCACTAGGAGAAGGCAGAAGGCATCTTACTTGGCTGTAAAAAAGATGGTGTCCTACGAGTTGTTTATCAGTGAGCTGAAGTTTAGTAACTTTATTATAAAATAATGCAATAACTCCTGACTATTATTTTTTATGTGGATCCTCAGACAGAACATGTTTCAGTGAGCAGTTATCATGGACACACAGGTCCACTGTGAGGTTTTTCATAGTTTGGATGAAGCAGCTGCTGAGGTTAGCTTGGGGACGCCTCTGAAGCTACCAGTTGTGGTGCAACAAAGTGCTAGTCTATTTTTTGTTGTTTATACAGACACAGCAATCCTGTGCTAACTTTGCAACTTTTATATCTAATAAAATAATCTACTTCAGATCTTAACTTTCTTGACACATTTTAAATGATAAAAAATGATGTACATAAAGGTCACTATTTTTTTGTTGAGGAATTAATTTTTTAAATCATGTATAAGGTATAAAAAGATGTTTTGGAAATGTCTACCTAATAGTTCAATATATTAAGTCTTTTTTTGTCTTATTTGATATTTTGGGGGATTTGTGTCGCTGCAAACACGATAAGTAAATGTCTCCAGATGTTTCAATCCTCACAGGGAATCTTCTTCTAGTTAATTATGTGGAACTTTCAGTGACCTGGTACAAAATCAAAGCAAAAAGATTTGGATTGGCATTAAATAATACATATTTTGCCTGTCCAATGCTGCCCTCGAAACATTTCCATCAAGAAATTGCAGTGCTTAACCAGTGCAGCAAACAGAACAAGTTCTTATTGATTTGATTTTTAAGAAAACTGAGAGCCAAGCTATACTAATCTTTAGATTCCACCTCCTAAGAGCCAATAAACTTGTAATATTCTGATGCTAAGCTGACATTTCATAAAACATAAAATGAGGTTCAATACATCTATTATCAGCAGTCGGTCACTTACTAATATATCAAATCCATGTGATCTTAAAGAAAATGTAAATGGTGGAGAGTTTTAAGGACTCAGACATACGTATGCCATACAAAAAGATAAATAAGTAGATTGAATTAATTTGCAGTGGGGTTATTTAAATAGATTTATATGTAGCCCAGTACATTTTTTTTCTGTATACATTCACCGTTTTCCCTTTCTCTGTTATTTCTAAGACAGTTGACTGTTATTTCAGTTTTGAACTTTTTTTGGTTTATATTCCTGCGACTAACTGTGTATACTTTCATTCAATAGGATTTGCAGCTACCTCAGAGTTTATTTGCTTTGTTGTTTTTGTCAGCTAGATGAAGATGGAGCCATGAAAGTAACTGCTCCAGTTATTAATTAAATTTTTTGTAAACCCCTGGCGGATACTATACCACAATGTATGCTGTGTCTGTACTGTTATGTATTCTGTATTTCAATAGATCTATTAAAACAAATAAATAAATAAAAAATAACGGGCCCACCCAGTAAAGCGATAACTTCCGATTTAAAAGCATCCAATCGTCCAATCAGCTATTTCTCAGGTCTCCAACTGGGACACACCCTTTCCATTTTGTTAATGTTGTAGTGCTTCGCTACATAGACATGAATACCTAGACGCCTCATGAAGCGCCGAGTTGTATGTAACAGCGTCCGCCATCTTCTATGTGGCAGCAGGGCGATCAGAGCTCCTGATTAGCATATCTGACGGTAAACTGGCTTTCTACCTTCCTCACATTTTACTCACTCCTGTGTTTTTGACTTGTACATGGACAGATCCTCATCAGTCGTTTGCTTTGTGCTCATGCCAAGTTTCTCCATTGCTTACTTTCACTGTGTGAATATCTCATTATTCTATTGCATGTAACAGATTCTCATGCATATTGTGATTGTAATTAATTTCTGATGGAGTCTGATTCTTTTGGTACCCTACTCACCGGCACTGAGTCTAAAGAAAAGAAAAAAAAAAGCTATGCATGTCTAATATTTCATTTCAATCCAGAGAGCATAAAATTAAATGCTTAACTGATGCCTTCTTTTTTACTTTTGTTCTGAGAGTAGCTAACTTTCATTTTCTCGCACAAAAAGGTTCAAAATATTTTAACACAAATTGGTAATTTGAATATAGCAAATGCAGCAGATAAGCAGATTAGCAAAATCAAAATGATAAATACCTCTGACCATGACGTGGCATAGTGCTTCCATATATTTGCTTTTATGATACGAGGCTTTACCCACTGTAAGTGTAAGAAGTTGACTTGTAAGAGTGACAAAACTTACTACATATTTGCACAACACAACTATTCACTTGCATACAGATGACCAAACTCTCTCACAAACACTATGATCCCAATGTGTCACACAACAAACACCATTATACTCTTATAGTATTTGTGAGAGTTTGGTCATCTTTGTCAGTAAATGCTTGTCCCACGAGGCCTCTCACACCTTCTGGATGTTGTATCTTAATAAACCCAGTTCCTGCGCCTCCCACACATCCATCTCCAAGTCTCTCTGAATGTCTTCCAGAACAGAGGTGTACAACACATTTTGCCCACTGTTGGAAATATATGTTATCATTCTTACATGTATATAGAACATCTTACCATAGCAGTCTTATATTATACTATAGATTATTGTGATTTTCATTTTAGAAGTGTTGACTTTTGACTGCTGTGTTGAAGACTTTTGACCGACTCACAAAATGTCTCAGCAGCATAACTGATGGTTCCCTCCAGCCTTGAGAAAAATCACTCTCAAGGGAAAGGACTGGATGACCTGTGTGTAGAACTTGTAGACAAAACTTGTGCCTTTCGCATCTTCTCTTTATCTCTCCCTTCTCTCAAAATAAAAGACGAACTCAAGCTGGAAGTTGTCAGAACGCTGCATCTTCTCCTTTCATGAAAGCTTGGAAAAAACTCACATAAGTTGTCTGTAGTTCTTTTATGTAGATTCAGAAAATACCTATTACCCACTAGGAGGAAGTAATGTATTGTCTTCCACTGTAACTTACAGCATTTTGATTCTTCAAAAATATATGCCTATAAGAACAAGCCATTTATAAAGCAGTTCATAAATAAATTGAACAATCACACTATAAGTTAATTACTGGATGTTTCAGATGAAACGGCTCAGTCAATAATCCATTCTGTGACACTGTGCATTGCATTCATTAAAAAACTTATGCTACAAATGAAAAACATTGAAGACTGTAATGTGGACATGTTTATTAATCCTGTGACATGAAAAAATAAGTTGATGTATTCAAATTGTTCTATATAAAAATGCTCAATTAGATTTTAGAACATGTTCAGATGTGTAATAATGTGCCAAACTGGACAGAAAGAGGCGCTGGTGCTGCGTGGTCCACACACACACACACGCACACACGCACACACACACACACACACACACACACACACACACACACACACCCACACACAAATCTCTTCTACTTTTCAATAATTTCAATTACGTGTGATTTAGAAATTGCACATTTAAACCAAAATGTAATCAACTGTTTGTTGTTATTATCTTTGAACAATAATCTTTGATGCAGATCTGTGCTGCCTGGCTTCTACCACAAATTCTAATTTAAAAATAAAACCCTGTTATATTTCTACATGGTGAACAGTAGATGGCCACTGAAGGTAGTGTGATGATCTTGATTGTCATGAACCCATGAGTTAGCCGGCAAACGCACAAATACAATGTCTCCGATGTTTAACATCAGTGTAACACCATTAGAAGTCTTCTGACCACCAGCAGGCTGATGTTCATATGTTGCAAAGATTTGCACTCCATTCTTGACCAACACCGCATAAGCAGGCTGTGTAGAACTTCCATGTCCGTAGATGTGGAACTCAAAGTGATACACTCCTCTTACTGGTGCAGTAAACAGCCCTGTATTATCAAGAATTGTAATTATCTCTCATGTCATAAGAAATGTTACATTTTGTTCATACTGTAAATAAAAATGCAAAATATAAAGTGTAAATTGATGCACCTGTACTTGGACTGTAGGCATTTCCAATATTAGTGGTAACATGTCTGAAGACCATGATTGTGTGTGTGTTGAATGGCCCGTGGTTTCCTGAACCCGACTCCAAAAGAGCAGCAGAGAAAGCCAGTCGCTTGGCTGAGAGACAGAAACGGGACATCAGCCAAATTCAGTCACACAGCAAGAGTTTTAAACATCTCAACATTTGTGAATTTGTTGTTTGAATACAACAAATTCACAAATGCAAAAAAGTTGTAAATATTTGCATTGATTTATTTTCTTAAGCATGCTGATGCCTTCATATACTTAAAAAGAATTTCAGCAGTGCTGGAGCTCCTATCTGTAGATGGGAGATGGGAAAATGTCTCATGCAGTTTGGACATGTGATAGTGAGAAACCCATTTGGAAAATTCTTTCTCTCGCAGAGTGTATTTTATATTCCATAAATCGAAGGTTGAATTTTTAGATCATTTTAAATGGGTTTGTGCAAATTTTACTCCAAAAGTAAAGATCTGTACTGGTAGATTAATGTCCCATTTACTGACAGGAAGTGGATAAATCTTTTAAATCTATTTCTGAATTCTAAGTTTTTGAGAGCAACATTGGGGGTTGAGGATTGTGATATAGGAGCCGTCACGAGCCGGGACTTAATTATGAGTACGTGTCAACATGGGAGCACGCCTGCACACACATACACACAACCGCGAACTTATTTATGTTGCAGCTTAAACTGACGTGGTTCATCGTGGGTGCACACGCGGTGTTCCTGCTTCAGTTAGCATCCATCCTAACCTATTTTCATTTGCAAACATTTTCCCGGTTTGATTTTAAACAAGCAGGGTTATTTCCGGATTATGGCGCGCCAGGAGAGAGTCATGTGATGACGTAGTGACTTCATCGGAACATACTGAGTGTTTTCTATTAAATTGATTATTGTATTTTTGATTACAAGTTTATTTTTATTATTATTATTATTATTATTATGTATACTCTAAGCGTGTATTTGAGTTAGAAGTAATTGTTTAGTAGTTGTTGAGAAGTCACATGGAAGGTGATGGACTCTTGCACTGAAGGTATTGCTGTTTGTCTGTTTTTAACCTGCCTTGGACGTCCTTGTATATATTCTGCACCTGCCATTTTTTTCACCTGAAGAAAAGCTAAATAAATTTCACTAAAGTGATCTCTGGCCTTGGGCAGTCAATTTTTGTTTGTCCAAATCATAAGAGAACCCTGTCACAAGGATTAAGGAAGCTCGCTATCACTACAGGAAGTTCTATTTTTATTTTCTTGGTCTTATAGTTGGACTGCTACACAATAGATTTTACTTGGTAATAATCAAATAATCTACTTTACTTAAATCGTATGGCCTGTATACCATTTAATGTTCCACGTTAAAAAGTTAAAACCTGCAAATATTATAGGATGTCAGCTTTGTTCTAAATGCTCATTTAAACCTATTCATTTTCACATTCAGATTTCATCCAGTCTTAGGATAAGATTTGTGCTCACACAGTTATTTTCATTGAACTTGGACATTGAAGTCATTGATAGTGAACTGCTGGTATGAGTGTTTCCTTCAGAGTTCACAAACCTTCTCCTTCTCTCCTCAGAGCCTCCACTTGGTTCTCGGTGACGTTAGCCTTGGCTTTAGCAGCAGCCAGTTCTGCTGCCTGAGCTGCAGTGAAAGGATAAACAAAGAGATTCAGTGAAATAAAACATTTGTTGATATGTTCAGAGTATTATGTCTTCCCACATCTGAAATATATTGTACAAATATGATCAGCTGTAACAATTTAAATTTCAAAGTGAGATATTAATGTCACTGATATGGATGTGACATCAAACAGGCTGAGTGTTTCCTTCAGAGTTCACAAACCTTCTACTTGGTTTTCGATGCCGTTTGCCTTGGCTTTAACAGCAGCAAGCTCTGCTGCTTGAGCTGAAAAAGAAGAAATACCAAAAAAATGTGTTCTGTTGTTTTAGGTATTTCTTAGTGGGTTGAAAATCTACGTTTGTTTGAAACAAAACTGTTTTGGTTAAGGTAAATCTGTTTTTAATACATAGGCATTGTCATAGAGCAATACAGGTATCTGAACAAAAATATTTCTTCTACTTTTTTAAATTTCTGTATAATACATTAAAAAGTTAAATGTTAGTGTTGTATACATTTGTATCTATACTTTTTTATACTGTAATAAACATCAGGTCAGGTCATTGCATTAACATAAATCATGTGCTTTATTTATTTTAAGTCAACTCCAGATTGACAGAATCAAGAGAAAGATTTGCTTATACTGTCTATACAGTCATGTGTGTAACTTACTGTTCCCAGTTATTCCATTGATATTTTATTAGTTGATACTTGTGATATATCCAAAGTAAACTTAATACCAAACCTCTGCACATCGTCTTGTATCAGTCAGTACCTTGGTATCGTTGGCTCAGTGATTCTAGCTCTTTCGTCTTCACTATGAATAGAAAAAAAACAAACATAAAACACAGAATTAAAATGGTCGTGCAATATGAGTGTTTAGTTAATCAGAAATAGTCTTTCCAATGCTTGAACTCTCTTTGTAAACAAACCTTCATTATCTCTCTGTAGGTGCTGAACCTCCACCTTCAGTCCAGCCAACCAGGCGCTCATCTCCCTCAGGACTCCGTTGATGTCCTGTGTGCAGGTCTGCTGGTCCGGTTCTACCTGTCCCTCAGTCTGCCTTAAATGTGAAAGAATGTCATTTCCAGACTCCGCTTGAGGTTGAGCTGCAGAGACGGAGCAGACCAGCAGCAGCAATGGAAGCAGCGTTCTTATTTCCATCCTCGGTGTTGGTCTATGTGGGTCAACTCTTAAACTTCGTCAAGCCTTAAAGACTGAATTTTATTGTTTGTGGCAAATCATTACCAGAGTATCTTGTCAGGAAAACGGATGATAAAAAGTGTTACTTTAGCCTTGTCCAATAAAAAGGAGAACAATGGATCATAAAAACAAATTATTTCAAAACTGTACTCCAACAGGATCTGGAGGGTGGGGAGGAAGTTAGAGGGAATAGGTCAGATCTGGTCAAATCTGAATTGAAGTCTATGGGCCCAAAATATCAGTAAAATATTTAAATGTTACTCTACAGAACTGGTTGTGTATGAAGCCCACCTGCACACAGAAGGAGATTCTGCCATTTCAGGTCTTCTGGTTCTGGGAATGCAGAACAGACCACAACCAGAACCAGAACTAAACATGGAGAAGCAGGATTCAGCTTCTGTCCACCACAACTCTGGAACAAATTTTCAGTAATCTGTAAAACAGCTGAAACACTGAGTTCATTTAGGTCAAGCCTAAAAATCCAGAGTTGCCTTTGAATAGTAGCAAATGGACCATTGACCAAATGTAAGGTCAAGGTGATTGTATGATGCTTTTATAATGCAAGGCACTATGAACTACCTGATAAGGCACTACGAACTACCTGAACATGTGTTATACAATTAAACCTGAACTGACAATAAAGGAGGGAGTTGGATTGCTCTTAAAACCAGAACAGTATGTTTTTACAACATTACAGTGCCTTGCTAATCTAGTATCATATAAGCAACTCTAACTCAATTAAGCTCTACACACAATATGGTGTCTCACTGCTGCTAGAAATTGGAGATGATGTATTTTTGCGAATGTGGACCAATTCATGGGTACATGACACTCAAAATCATCAAACGACCTTTAGTAGTCATTTGCTTTCCACCATGTAGGCAGTTAATATTATTTTTATTTACGATAAAGGTGAAAGGAACACAATTAAACACATCTGCACCAGAGATTTAATTATGAAAATGATTGATTTGTAAAATAAAGTTGGAGTTGTTTGGTTTCTAAAGCAGCCATAAAGAAACATATATATGCTTGAGATTTTTTGTTGCTTTAGCCAAATGTTGTGTTCACACCAAACACGTTTTGAGCATCAGCCGCCTCTGGTTTACATTAAAAGTCTATGTGGAGTAGCATCAGAAGTGGCAGAATCACTCTAGCCGTTGTTTTCCATTGCCAGCGTATTTGTCTGATGTGTCAGACCCATTGGACGCGCTTGACGAGTCAAATGCTATAAACGCTTCA